GTGCGCGCGCGCGCTCTTGCGTCGTCGTCGTCGTCGTCGTCGTCGTCGTCGCCGTCCTCCCTCCTCCCGCGTCGTCGTCGTCGTCGTCGCCTACGTCGTCCTCTGTCTTTCCTCGTGTTCGTCGTCGTCGTCCTCGTTGGCGTCGTGGTCGTTTCCGTCGTCGTTGTTGCCGTGGTCGTCCTTCCTCCTCCTCCCTCGTCGTCGTCGTCCGTCGTCGGCGTCTCGTCGTCGTCCCTCCTATTTCGTCGTCGTCGTCGTCGTTGTCGTCGTCGTCTTCCCTCCTCCCTCGTCGTTGTCGTCGTCGGCGTCGCCGTCCTTCCTCCTTCGTCGTCGTTCGCGTCGTCGCCGTCCTCCATCCTACCTCGTCGTTGTCGTCGTTGTCGTCGTTGTCGCCGTCGTCGTCCTTCCTCCTCCCTCGTCGTCGCCTTCGTTGGCGACGTCAGTCGTCTGTCTTTTCAGTCGTCGTCGGTCTTCTCCTGTCGGCGTTGTTGTCGTCGTCGAAGTCGTACGGTAGCGTTCGTCTGGTTGTAGTCGTAGTCGATGAGCGTCGTTCGTCGTGTCGTAGTCGGGCGTGCGTTGACGTCGTCGTTCGTCGTCGTGTCGGTGTCGTTCGTTGGTCGTCGTCGAATGTCGTTGGAGAAAAGGCCCGCGACGTCTACCTCGGTTAGTCGTCGGCGCCGTCGTCGTCGTTGTCGCTGTCGTCGTCGGCGTCGGTGTCGTGGCCAAGTGTCATGTGGTACGTACCGTCACGGTCTTGTCTTAAGAGGTCTTGCGACCAAGTTGCGGGTGGGAGGGTGGGATGTTTGCAAGAGCAGTGGAGAGGACAGCTTCAAGACGGTCAAAGACTATTACGCACCCTTATATATTACCCTATACCGTTGTTTACGAACATCTTGCCAGCGACGTGCCACGCGGCATCCACATTACCATGTGCTTTCGACTTGATAGCGGGGCTGACCACATACTCGTGCGGTCGGTTCCCGTATTCGGACGAGTTCAATTTTCCTGTGGCGCGAGCCACGTGACCGTTGTGAGCCCACACTCCATCCACGACTCCGTGGAACATCTCACCCTTTCTCGAGATGAGTTTGGACAAGCTAGGGCCAACCCGGCATCTTCAACATATTTCCAATCGAAAGAGGAACTTGGTAATTCGAAATTGCACAAGCATGGAACATGCCGCACGGATGCGTTCGACGCATCCGACCGCGACGCTTGACTACACCCACAGAAAAATACCGAGCGCGGAAATGCGCCAGGTCATCCCAGTTCATGGTTGACATGTTCGGGGCTGGTCATTTACGCCATCGTACGGCCGCGAATTTGCTCCGCCATCGGATACATTCAGCTCTGTGGAGGCAGCGATAACAATGCCCCTCCCCCCAGACTTGGATCCAGCCAGGAACGTACCGATTCCTGAAATTGTCCATGACACCAACGTTTGGTTTGTATTAGTTTGTGCTACGAGGACCCCGCGGCAAAAAATGCGCCTTCCAGCCAGGGCCAGGGGGCCTTGCGCGCAAAATTGTCATGCGCATTCTTCCAGACGTCATCAACTTCGTCGCGAGCATCAGAGGCACTTGCGCTGATCCCATCACCTACATCATGCTTGTTTTGAGGCAGCAGTTTGAACACTCCAAGGAAGAGTGGCAGCTCGCCTCGGGCATTCAGCTACATGATTTCCACGTGCCCAACAGCGAGCGCATCGACGAGACTCTGGCGAAGTTTGAAATGGCGCGCCCGGGGGCAAAATCGGCTGGGTGCGACGCGGCTACTTGTCAGCTACTCGCCATTGCGTGGTCCTGGCCCTTGGAGTTGGCACTCGGGGCCGCGCAACTACTGCAGACACTCAACCACGAGATGCCGCGCGCGCAGGTGGACTACGAAAGCCTGACTGAGAGCAAGCCGACGTCAACACTCGCGGCCAGTCGGCCGCATCGCCGAGCGCCCGCCAGGAAACATCGGATCGGTATTTGGGCGAGGCAACCGCGGTCGGGTCACAACCTCCGTCGCTTGCGTAGCCCATGCTTCGGAGCATGGAGACGGTCCAATTACTTGGGCAGGCGATGCCGGTGAGAGCACCGCCCTGCCTGTTCGCCCAGCATCCCGCGGCGGAAGCGACGCATCGACACGGCGCGCCAGCCGCTCTGTGACACGCCCCCCCCCCCCCCCCCC